TGGTTGAAGTCGCCAGAAAATGTGAAGGATGATGTGATTATTATCAAAGGAAAAGAGTTAGCATATGCTTCTTTGAATCTTTTTTTTTCTATTATGAATACGCTATTTCAACAGGTATTTCCCAAAAACGGATAGCAAGACGCTGTGGCAGAAAGTGCTCTCGGTTTTCGAACACCGTCTTGATCGAAGAAAAAAAGAGGTGAGCTGAATACATCATGACCGTGGATGATTGCTTGCACTAACCAATGCTTCCTATACGTTTTTTGTTTCGAAGCGAGTGTGTTAAGATCGCTCGCCTCCCGGCAGGAACATTGTACGGATGCAACGGCATAATTGATACAACATTGAAGAAGAAGGAATCCATTTATACTGCCTGTCTGTACATGAAACCGCAGAAGAGTGCAGGCTCAGGTACTCCTCTACCGAAAGAGACCGAAGAAACATTCAAGACTCTCAATTCAATGTACAGCGACAATGTGGTCAGTTCTGTCGATAATTTGGACGTCTCAATTCTCTTGTAAGAATCTATTCACAGGAATGGAGCGATGAGTGGGCGAAGAAGGCACTGGAATATTTGAAGTCACCTAAAAGTGTAAAGGCTGACGTCATTATCAAAGGAAAACAGTTAGTATCAGTTAACCTGCCGCATTCTTGCACCATCTCTGTTCAGAAAAAAACATCTGAATACTATGTTCTTCAGGTCTTTCCCAAAGGACGACAAAAAGGAGATGTGGGAGAAGTTGCTTGCAATCCTCGAACATCGCTTCGATAAAAGAGTGAAAGAAGTGAGTTCAGAGCATTATTATGGAGTACAAAGTGCATCTGGCGCTAAGGCGGAAAATTCACAAGCCGACTGTGTTAAGATCGAGCTTCTTCCCGAGGGCACGCTGTATGGATGCAATGGTGTCATAAACACGAAGGAAAAGGAAGAGTCTATTTACACTGCTTGTCTCTACAAGAAGCCTTGATGTGGCTTCTATTTCACTCGAAACTTTATAGATTGACAGGAGATCAGTAAAGTTTCATCACAAAGAAGAGTGTACTCTATTTCAACCAATACATATAGATTAGTTGACTGATATAGCATCATACAGTGGTCGACCTAGAAGCGATCCTCTAGAGGACGTGTAAAACTTAGACACTTAGAAAGCAAAGTGTTACAAATACATATTGATCAAGTACACACACCTGCAACCCGATATTTCTAAGAAAAACCTCACGTTCATAGGATTACTGAGATCGCCCGAAATTGAAAAAAAACTGTTTAAAACTATTCTAGAAATCGTTTTCAACAATGGTGGTTGTAACGGGGCTGACTCGGTGTAGCCGTGAAAGGTTCCGCATTGCTGTACGCTTCAGCAACCGCCATCGGTTAATTTGCTCAAATCTTACCTGATGCCTTCCATTATTTATGTACTGCTGGTTTCATCGCTGAAGGTATAGGCAGAGCGGAATCCTTACGCATGATAACCATTCGAACGTCCGAACACGAAGCATAGTGTTGAATCAAATGGTGCTTAAATAGAAAACTCCTGAGGCCCGATGTAGGCTGCTATAGATTTCAAAGGTGGTTGCACATCTCCCCCTTCCGAAGACCACTGCAATAGCTCTTAAACCTGCAGCTTCTCTAA